GATGCTGATGATGATGATGATGATGATGATGATGATGATGATGATGATGATGATGATGATGATGATCGTGATTATGATGATCTTGGTAATGATGTTGTTGGCACCCTGCTGTTTTATTTATGTCTCTAACGTAAGTAAAATGTAAATTGACATTTATTCTTTTTTTTCCAGCAATGATGATGGCGTCCTTGTTGGTTTCGATGTTGACCTCGTTAAGGAAGGTAAGCGAGCTCATCATTATCATTCAACTTACTGTCCATAGGTCACAATCATAAATATTAACAATATCTGATCAAAGGTTACCAAATTCGTGATATTATACCAATAAAGACAACTTTACAACAACGCCATTGTTGTTGATAGAAGATGTTATTGCCATAACACGAAGTTTTGTGGTAGTTCGTTTCCTCAGTAACTGTAGTAATACATCGTACGTATTTTACTAAACACCCTTTTCATTCCGAAGTCCCCCCCCTCTTGTCTTTCTCTCTCCCCCCCTCTCTCTTTCTCTCTCTGTCTCTTTGCCTCTGTGCTTCCCCCTCCTCTCCCCCACCCCTTTCAATCACTACTTTTACCGTGATCGCCACCATCTAACCCACCACACGCATTCGCAGTAAAAAAAACCCCTATTTAGATTGAAAAGCAACTGAGGTTCTAACAGCAGTAGCAGCAGTAGCAAAAGCAGCAACAGCAGCAACAGCAGCAGTTACAGCAGCAATAGCAGTAGCAGTAGCAGCAGCAGCAAGAGTAGGAGTAGTAGCAGTAGAAGTTATATCATCAATCACAACAACAAACAACAATAACCACAACAACAACAACTACACCAACATCAGCAGCAATAGTAATAATTCAAAACAGCCTACAAAATTCACATAGAAACAAATAAGCATGATGCTATGACACCCTCCCCCCCCCAAAAAAAAATAATAAAAAAAATGAAGAAGAAGAAAAAGCTGTCCTACTCCTACACAGACGTTACGCGTAATGTGTTTTGTTTCATCAACTCCAGACATTCACTACACACACACAAAACACACACACACACACACACACACACACACACACACACACACACACACACACACACAGATAGCTAGATAGTAGTAGTAGTAGTTGTAGTAGTAGTAGTAGTAGTAG